AAAACAAAGCAAAATAATGCCATTTCATCACTAAATCCACCCTGCTCAGACACTGGAAGGAAAGCCCAGATTTCTGTTATATTACTCATCTGCTGTCAGTAAACACAAGGAATAACAAATATCTCAGTATTCCCACAGAGAATCCAAGTTAAAAATGCTTCAGTCACTCCAAGGTTTCACTTCAAGTGGCCAACATCTGTATAGACAAAAGATTTTACTTGGGATGAAGATAACCCAAGAGAACATAATGCTCATATTTTGCATTTTCTCAATGGGAAAAAGCCCATAGAATTGAATACAATAAAATCATCAAGGTTGGAAGAGACCTCTAAGATCATCAAGTCCAACCATTAACCTGTCACACCACTGTAACCCTTAAACCATGTCTTCCAGCACCAGATCCAGATGCCTCTTAAACATTGCCAGGGATGGTGACTCCACCACCTCCCTGGGCAATCTATTCCACTGCCTGACCACCCTAACAGTGAAAAAATGCTTCCTAATATCTACTCTGAATCTCCACTGTCTCAGCTTATGGCCATTCCCCCTAGTCCTCTCACTGCAGGCATGGCAGAAGAGACCACCCCCCACCTCTCTACAATCCCCTTTCAAGGAGGTAGGTGTAGAGTGCGATGAGGTCACTCCTGAGCCACCTCTTCTCAAGGCTAAACAAAACCAACTCCCTCAGCCATTCCTCGTAAGACACGCTCTTGAGCTTTCATACTACCCTTGGGAATTCTACTCTGAGGAACTACACATTACTATGTAATTATGTGATAATTTACTAACAGTTAGTCAATACTTTCTTTTGCCTTCACTGTCTACTGAAGCACCTTACAACTTTTCTGTTGCATATCATTTAAGTTTAGTCTCAAAAACAAACATCTTAGTTTCTTCATCAATATTTGAGTAGTGTTTATCACTACTGTATTTTGATGCTTTGCAAACATTCCTTTATATTACAATATCCCCTACAGGAAAGCAAAAGTGGAATCTCCATTGTGCTAAGAGGAAACAAATTACAGAAAGGTTTGAAGATATTTGCAACTTTTTATTTCTAGATTGACACAGGCTTTTCAGAATACGTAATAGATGCATTTATATAGATCATTACATGCTTTAAACAAAGTCCCTACTGACTCCCGTTGCAATAACAGTACATAAGAGATATACAAGTCAGGCTCCACACTCAACACCAAAATAAAATATTTACAAATGTCTTTAAAAATTTGAGTCTGAGACTTGTAGCAGAGGTAGTGACAGAATCCAGTTCTTCAAAGGCATCATTCAGCTATGCTCTTCTTAGCTACACTGAGACAGAGAACCAGTCCTTAAATTCACACATCATTCTTGTTCAGGGACCACACTACATTTCTCTGCATCATTTCAATTTCAGTATATGCCAAAAGTGACAGAGTTCACTGAGGAGAGAAAAGAAAAGTGGTAAATCCTTGCTTTGGAGTCCTGCTGGGAATTACTCTACAACTATACTCTGCTTTCTGACATCAGTATATCTCTGGCAGCTCTCATTACAGAGAAAAACCAGCAACAAAAAAAACCCATCAAGTATGCTCTAGTTACCTTAAAAGCAAAACTTCAAATAGCTGGTATGCATCATGAAACATATTATTAGAAACCTTCAGTTGAGTATATTACAGTACCATCATTTCAAGTCACACATTTGTATGCTCTGACTCCAAAGGGACAGTTTTTTGACTGATCCCACATTAAGATTACATATGACACTCTTACTCAAGGAACAAATTTTTCAAGATATTTCCAAAAAAAACCAGAAGAATACAGTACTTAAGAATAAGGCACTACTACTAGAAACAGAGAAGCCATTTAAAATTTCTTCATTCAATAGTAACATAACTAAAAGCCTGCAGGCCTGAAAACTATTTCCATTAAGTAAATTTACAGGAATATAACATTTCTGAAATTGGCTGCCCTAAAGAGATGTCAGAATGTTGAGATCTTTAAAGTGAAAAAGGCAGTAACTGACTGTTGGTGTGACCCAAATTCAAAAGAAGAGAAATTAACTACACTGCAAGTAGAGGCCATAACTTTTATGGGGTTTTTTTGGTGGAAATGGAAGTTAGGTGATTTGAAATATTTTATGTAATGAAAAAAAGCACCAGGACTCCAAATACAAAAACTTTAGAAATGCCAACTCCTTCCAAAAAGTACTTAATAACAACTTCTCAAGTCCTTACTGCATTGCATATTCCCAGAAATCTGACAGAACAAATAACATTTGAACTGTTCAGGGTTCAGTTCTGCTAGACTTGCACAGTATCATCTACTAGTACATATCATTTGAGATCCTAAAGCTCATACATATGGACACAACACAATCAATGGGGAGAAAACAACCCCCAATTTCTTTTAGTTCAGTATCTAAATAGTCCTTTAACTTTTAACTTTCAAATGTGTTTTGTTATTTTAAACACCTGTATGTGCATTTGCGAATCAAATAAACACATATCCTGGAGCTGTGGAATTACATACTTACAGGATTTTTCTGTGTCTGAAGTAGAATTTATGCTCACAGCATAAAGACAGCAGAAAGGTTGATTCCTTCTGACGTAATTATTTCATTTTGTAAGCAAACTGTACCATGTCATTCTGAATTCAAGCAAATACTAAATACTGATTTGCAACAGGTTGTGCATGGAGAGGCCTCCACAGTCATCGAAAAAAGAAAAAGAGCAGCATCCTTGAGTGTACTGGAGAAATACACATTATGCTTTGAAGGCTCAATTCACAGTGAGGAAAAAAAAACCCTGTTTTCTACTAGTAACAATCCAGAACTCATCTACTAGGGTTGCTTGTGCATATACACACATATTCTTTAAACATGTAACTTTGAAACGATCCATTCTGGGAGGGTGTATGTGGGCATGGGTGTATGTAAAAAAGGTCTTTATTTCATCACTTCTGCCATCCAAATCTAAATGGACTAGGCACAACCAAATTTAAGAGTATGTTATACCAGCTTCATTTTAAATCACCACAGATGTTCTGTTTCAAACATCCTGCAACTATTCATTTAACTTGCCTTACACATAAGAAAACTTTACTTTTTTTCTTTCAACTTCTGAGGTTATTTGTAATAACTTTATATTGCCCAACTTCTCCGAACCCCCACAACTTTCTTCTTTCACATTGAAAATCTTTGAATAAAGAGTAAAATGTCGAACTCTCTTGCTATCTCAAAATGTTTTCACTAAATTTTGAGCTTTATTAAACAGAACATTAATTTATCCTACAAATGACAGATACAGGTTCAGAAATGTTAAAATAACACTACATGAGCTATATGAACACAAAACAGCAATTAGAAAAACATTTTTAAGCAGAACTTGGGTTTTTCTCATATGCTTCTCTCAATTCAGTGTTGGGTTTTTATGGGAAAATTCACTCAACTTCCTCAAAATGAAGGTGCATATATATAATATTCTAAGAGTCAGAGAGGATATCAATTAAAAGTGAATCTTCTGCATTTACACATTGTTGAGTCAGCAAGCTGTATCCATTATTTTTAACTAATGACTCTCTTTTCAGCACCTAATATATTGCTCTGAATTATCTGTTCATACCCATACTCCCAACTCTCCTTCTACCTTAAATCCTGCCTACACTACTGTTCCAGAATAGGAAGATTTTCTCCAGTAATTAGAAATCATTTCCTTCTATGGCAAGTTGTATTTCAAAATGGCAGTACCCTTACTCAAAAGAAAGGAACAAAACCCCCCAAAACACAATTTTAAAAGTAAATGAAACAAGCTCCTCAAAATCTTAGCATGAGATGGGTAGAATGACATCAGTTGTATTCCTTTAAGCCACTGCAGCCTGCTTCTGCCAGAACAACCACAGGAAATATGTCTAAGCTTAGGGGAAAAAAACAAAACAAAACAAAACACAACAAACAAAAAACCCAACACCACCCCAAAAAAACAACCTCAAAAAGAAAAAAACCCAACCACAAACAAGGAGCATTAGGGCATATCTTAAAACAGGCACTGGATAAATTATTATTAAGCATTAAAGTCATCAACACAGAGGAACTTGCCATATGTTAAAAAATAAGCCTTTAAATGTAGCTGGAGAATATTCTTGCACTATACATTCACAGGAAAACAAACATCAGCATCCCCAGTGCAGAAATAAGAAAGTGAAGTTATTTGACAAGCTGCCATGCTTCTCTTACACCTTACACATCCTGCCTCTCTTTGTTTATTTCCCTCAGCATATTCCACAGAACATCCAACATGCAGTTTATTGACAAATATGGTCCTGCCCCTTCTTTCCCTTCCCTCCAATATACTTGAATTTATTAATTTCATTTTGGCATCTTGTCTCTTTTCAGTCTCTGTGAATGCTCACTGCAGCTACAGGAATCTGCAGACATAGAAAAGACTGCAGAACAACACTGAGGCAAGGACTTCCTTCTAGTATGAAACATACACCTTTCTGCACAGCTATCTGAATGGACATCTGAAGTTTGTCTGTTGCAATAAAACGACTAAAAACCTGAACAAATTGTCTTTCTGACTTAGGTTCTTACTCACCAAGAGGAATAAACCTTGAGAAAAAGGCAACTTCATAAGTTCACAACAAACTATTATCCAGACTGGTTCAAAACAACAATGGCTTTATATCATTCCTATTTCAATACTAAATACAGTGAGTATTTCAAAAATTATCTCTACATTAAAGAGATAAAAAGCAATAAATATAGCTAAGGCAGTCTGCATAGAAGCTACTCAAATGCTGCTACCAAAACTTGTTTTATAACCATGACATTTCTGTTCAGAAAAGAAATAAATCGCAATTAAGTACTGATTTCTAGTTATCCAATCAAGTCACTCCCTTCAAGCGGCTCCAAGTCCCAGCAGTTCACCACTAGCATTCTGCCTCCCCTATGATATTAAATGAGCAACCACGAAACAAAAATGAGATCATTCTGAACCGAGGAGGTGTGAAAGCATATTTACCTGAAGCATCTCCAACTTTAAAATCACTGTCATCAGAGCTATCATAATCTAAAGCTTCCAGCAGCGAAGCTGCCAAAGGCTTCACTTGTCTCCTCTTCGAACTGCGGTCCACTGCAGGGGAAAAAAACAGCACGATGAGAAGGGTGGCACGATGAGAATTCAGCATCGTGAGGGGCACTGACAGTGAAGAGGCGGCA